TATCCTATTTCCTAGAACTGGAAGGGACCTTGAAAGGTCATTGAGTCCAGTCCCCTGCCTTCACTAGCAGGACCAAGTACTGATTTTTGCCCCAGATCCCTAAGTGGCCCCTTCAAGGATTGAACTCACAACCCTGGGTTTAGCAGGCCAATGCTCAAACCACTGAGCTATCCCTCCCCCCATGTCTACATTTAAAATGCTACAGTGCCACAGCTGTGGCTGCTCCACTGTAGTGGAGACAATACCTACAACAACAACCGGAGGGGTTCTCCTGTTGCTGTAATTAATCCACCTCCCTGAGAGGTGACAGCAAGGTCAACAGAAGAATCCTGTCAACCTAGCACTGGCTACAGCACAACTAGTTTGCTCAGGGGTGTGGGTTTTTCACACCCCTGAATGACACAGCTGGATCAACCTAACTTTTCAGTGTAGACCCAGCCCTCAGGCAGAGAGACCTGGGCACATAATCACTGTACGCTGGTGGACCTGAACACTAGCCTGGGACAAACAATCAGCCACATGTAATTACATTTCAGCCCTTTCTTGAGGGCTCTGTTTATTCTTCAGCCCACAAAAAGAAATGTGGAATAATGACACAAGCAACAGTCCTGTTTCTGACTGAGACTGGCCTCCAGTAGCGAAAGGGTCTACTCTCCCCCAACCTGGGGGGTCTTCTTGCTCCTCAGAGCCTTCTGCTGCAGCCACCAGAGAGGGTACACTGAACTCTCTCCTGGGCCCTCATTGATATCCTCCACCTGGGAATCAGACCCAATCATTAGCTACTGTCCAGCTGGGTCAGCTGATCCGCAGCACCTGCCTCCCTGGCCCAAAAAGGAACAAACCACACCCTTGTTACACTCCCTATGCAACACTTAACAGGAAATGTCAATGAGATTCTCTGCCTAGGCATTTATACTGTGCTCATCACTGTGATGTTTGAGCAGTGGTACCTCAGGTTTAACACAGATGTTTCTTTGCTAACATGTTTGTGGCCAGACCACCTCCAGAGTTCTGAACTTTCAAAAGCTAAGCAATGCTGGGCCAGGGTAGTCTGTAGATTGGAGTCCTCCAAGGAAGATGCAAAGTGCTGCAGGAAATGATATTGATGGGTGCTCCTTCCACCTGCAGTCAGTACTGAATACTGAGCTAGCATGCTGGAGGTGGTGTCCTTTGGGCAAGACATAGAACAGAGATCCTAGGACACTTTTGGTAATAGCACAGCTGACCTGTTCAACTTCCCAGCCTCCTGGTATGGCAGAATTACATTGTGCCTACCTCCTACATTTTCCTCACTTTCAAATGGATCTGGGGATGTTCTACAACCTAATCCACTGAGCACTGTTAAAGGTGATATGCAAAGAAGTTTGTAAGTCAGACTTTTGGTCCTTTTTTTTGGCTCCTGTGTGATGTATAGGGAGAGGGTTATTTTCAAAAATTCTGCTAGTTCACCTTTAATAACAGGAATTACTATTAGCAAAAAGAACAGGAGTACTTGTGGCACCTTAGAGACTAACAAATTTATTAGAGCATAAGCTTTCGTGGGCTACAACCCACTTCTTCGGATGCATATAGAGTGAAACATTGAGGAGATATATATACACACATACAGAGAGCATGAACAGGTGGGAGTTGTCTTACCAACTCTGAGAGGCCAATTAAGTAAGAGAAAAAAAA